CTTAACGTGAGCGGCCGTGGTCCATTCCAAACGGTCGTGCCGCCCCTCTACGACATGGTGTGTGGTTGGGGAGAAAAAATAAGACTTAGGAAAAAGAATGGCTTTCTCGCCCGTTTGGCACCACGCCCTTGACGTTTAGGTTTCAACATGAGGCGCAGTTTGAACTCCCCGACTAGAGCTCGTTGTCGGGGTTGGTTCCGGACGGCCAGCATCAATCAAAGAGAGAGGTGCTTTGACCCTTCAACCCTTATTCCTTCTTATGAGGAGTAGGTCGTGCTGAGACTTTTCCCTTAACGGGTAGAGGTATTGGGGTCGCGATGCAGGCATTGCTATCCCCCTTATGTTGAGACCTGAGACTAGAAAAAAAAGGAAATCTCAATCTCTTGCTATTTTCATTGGGATTGAGTGTTTGAAGATTGAATATTGCATTGTATAGCCAGGGGACCCTAGCTGATTCTCATGGCTGGTCCGACAGCCTCTCATCAACGAGGCCACCCACATGGCCGGTCTGGCGGTCATTTTCTCAATAGTCATTTTTCAAGACTGCCCCTTCCGCCCATTCACTCCTCAATTCTCTCATTCCTCAGCACCCAATCTCTGTGACCGTCCCAACAGTCCCTGCCCTTCTCGGCTTTAATGCTCTGCCTTCTTTATCCTGTCCTTCTCATTCACATCCGGCCCCTTGGCTATTTCCGCGACCGACCCACCGACCTTTTCCATCTCTTTCGTCCATCCCTTTGGCTATTTCAATGACCGACCCACCGACCTTTTCCATCTTTTCCATTCATCCCATTGGCTATTTCAATGACCGACCCACCGACCTTTTTCATCTCTCTCATCCATCCTTTGGCTATTTCAATAACCGACCCATCGGACTTTTCCATCTCTTATTGCTCATTCCAGCACATTCTCAATCAACCTTTCTCAATCAAATGTGCAGGGGACACCAGTGCCTATTTCAAAAGGAATGACCCTTGTCAGGGACCATTCCCGAACAACCTGGTTATGACCGTTTTTTTCCATTCTCAAATCGAACAGCCTGGTTAGGGCCATTCCTTTCCATTCTCAAGTCGAACAGCCTAGTTAGGGTCATTCCTTTCCATTCTCAAGTCGAACAACCTGGTTAGGGCCGTTCTTTTCCATTCTCAAGTCGAACAGCCTGGTTAGGGTCATTCCTTTCCATTCTCAATGTTAGTGCCCGAGGGGGTGGGCCTCGAGATTACGGATCTCATTTCTGTCTTGAAGGTTAGAAGGTGGCCATCTCATCTTTTGCGTGCTATTCTCTTTCTTCCTTTTCTCACAGTAATGTACTGTCCATTCCATTTCTCACAGTAATGTATCATCTATGCGTACATCCGACTTAGCGTCTAGCACTCGAGTTGGGGCTCGCGACCCCAAGCAGCACTAGCCCACCCGGTCGTTCATCCATAACAAAAGACAAAGGCGCCCCTTCCATTTTCACTCTTCCTGATCACTCAGGCTTCGGCTATTCTCAGTCTCATTCATGACTCAGTTGGATTAGGCTCCTAGGGAAGGAGTGCTCTTTACGCCCCTTAACCCATAGGTTCCCTAACCTCTCTTGTACTCGACCAATCATTCAATGTCATGGTTCGCTCGTCAATCCGTACTCAAGGTTTTCCCCTCTCAAAAGCATAATCCTTATTCCATCCAGAATTCACAATACACCCTCTCATAATTGGTCTCATCCCAAATCCCATGTCTTTGTCTTATGTACCCAAGGTAGCTCATCCAAAAAGTAGCCTAAAAAACTATCTTCTATCTTATCGTGACACAGCCTTAGCTGACCCTCTTCTTACTTCATCCTTAGCAAGCTTGCCCATACTGTACACGTTCTCGTCATTTTTATGTTTTCGCAGACAGAGAAACAACAATCCTTTTCAATGCTAAGTCAACACCTAGTTCTTATTGCTGCCTTGCGCCTCGTCTTGCCCAGTCCCTTGTCCACCCCGTTCCTCGGCAGGCTTTCTAACCCCCAGGCCGTAGGTCTCGATTTCTCTTTTCATCCCTACAATTTTCTGTAACTTTGCCTCGTTAAAAAAATCCAGTGGTGTGGCTTCAACCCCTGGCCTTGCGAGTTCCCGAGTCTTGATAATCCATTCGTGTCTGATCACATTGGTTCATTGCTGAAACCAATGACTGGGCGTCGACCCAAACTCGTCTTCCCATCTGAAAGCCCCGTCGCCCGGCAGGTACATCGGAGACCGCCCCTCTTCCCTAGGCCTCGAGATCGTATCCCTCTCATCCCCGCTGCTGATTTCTATGACTTCTCACACATCCTCCTCCTCATCCTCCTTGTCTTCTGTCTGTATGGGGCTATACCCACCTGCAAGGTTTTTTGGATCGTAGGTAAAAAAAATCTTTGTCCCCGTCCCATACCCCTCGCAACTGTCGTGGCCGCTTCGTCCTTCAAGTGGGCTCTCCCTTTTTTCCTCACTCTCCTCATATTCATCGCGCATGTCTTGTCCCCCCTCGCTTTCCCCATGCCAAGTCTCATGTCGCTTGCCCCTGTTGACTCCTTCCTCGTCAGAGACCTGAACCTTATTTCCCATCTCTGCATTGCCTCCTTCTTCCACTTCTGCCTTTTCCTTCTCTCCCTCACTGTCAGACGATATTTTTATACCTTCTCCCTCGCGGAGGGGTGAGGATTTCCTACACAAGCGTTTCCTTCCTCCCCTGCCTACCACTAGGCCACCCATGAGTCCTATATACAACTTTCTCTTTGCCGCTCTCCTCCCTTGGCTTGGTCCTGCTTCCTCCCCTCCGGTAGGCCTGTTGATTGCCCCACTGTCATTTTCGTCACCGAACTCCATCTTCTCTTTTCTTTTAGACCCTGTATAACAAAACAACACCCGCAAAGCCCCTCATGCACCCATTCCCCCAGTCTGGTAGGTAGTCGGCCCCCTTTTCCCAGAATGCTCCCAACATCCTTCGCAACATGCCCCTATTATACATGCGCCCATTTTTATCCCGTCAAAAACTATGGTACAATGCCCCAGACATCCCTTCCCGTTGTCACACAAGCCAGATATTGCAAGCCCCCAAGTCACGCTGCCTTTCAACCTCCGCCAGTCCAAGCCAAAGCGTCAGTCCCCCAAAAAAATGACAGTCCCATGAGCATGGTCAGAGACAAACCATGGTGTACGCAAGGCTATGGTCAGTCTTTAGCTTGTGGCTCCTCAGTTTCCTTATCTTCGGCCTCCTGAAGCCATTGTTCCACTGGGTCCCGACTTAGAAACCTAACCAATCGTTGCCCCGGGAAGGGCCCTTTCAATCCAGTTTCATCCAAATCTTCCAGTTCGAAGGTGTTCAGTCTCACCCGCTTGGCGACCCGGTAGGGGCCTTTGAACCTCCTTCCCAGCTGTCCCGACCAAGTACTTTCTAGTGCCGAGTTCCTTAACAATACCATCTCCCCCACTTGAAGTGGCTCCTTTCTGACATTCTTAACCTGCTCCCACCTTGCTTTGTCCCTCATTCTGCGGTCCAGTACCCGGTTGGCGGAGAGCAGGTTAACCGAGCACCCATTTTTCAGGCCCATTTATAAGCAGATGCCCCGTTAACCTCTTGTGGGTTGGCGATGTCTTCCATGACCTCCTCATTCTTAAGGATTTGTCGACATCTTGCCTCGATTAACTCTTCAGTGGTCATTTGCGGATCATCATCTAACCTATTTTAGGTAGGTACCAAGGCTTCCACAGGAAAGTCGATCTCTCTTCCGTACCAAAGCTCTGCCGGGATACATCCTGTTGTCCTTTTGGGGGTCATATTCTCTGCAAAGACGGCCTGCTTAAGATACCTAGGTCAGTTCCCCAGATGGTCCGCTGCGAGCTTTGCAATTGTGTTCTTCAGGTTCGGTGCCCCCTTTCCACAGATGCATTGGCCTCAGGGTGATACGACTCGATGAGTTTGATCGGTACGCAGAGTCTCTTAAGCACCCCCAATACTTCTTGGTTCACAAACTCCGTCTCATTGTCTGCTATAAACCTCCTGACGAACAGATGCCTTAAGTAGAAATCTTCTATCCAGTCCGCCACACTCCTCCCTGTCTTTTTCTTGAGGGCGACTGCCTCCACGAACCCACTCAGGTTGTCCCGCGCATCCAGGATATACCTGTACCCATCCGTTGATACAGGCATGACCGCAAGGTCGAGGTGGACCAGGTGCCCCGGCCCTAGCACCCCCGTTGGTTTAAGCGGCTCGAAGACCCGCACCGAACTTCGTTCTTGGCAAATTAGGCAAGTCTGGCAGTATATGGCGACCATGCCCGCCATACCCGATCAATAATAGAGTGGCGTCATCTTTGCAAGCGTTCCTTTGGACGACCGATGACCTCCAGCTAACCCATCGTGCATTGCCTGGATAACGTCTACTTGCCTAGGTCTTCCGTACACAACCCTTCTGGGCATAGCACGTTCCTCCCTTCGGAACAAATGCCCACCCCTTAGGACCTACCTTTCGGCTTCTTCTCTTGCTTTAATACTGACTTCCGTAGGTTGTTTGTTTCTTACCAACAACAGCCCGATCTCCCGAAAGAGCCCTTCGTATGATTGGACATAGAAAAACTCCTCCCCTTTCTGGCCCCCATCCTTTCCTTTCTGCATCTGGTTTGCCACCCATTGCAACCATTTCCTTTCCCAAGATTCCACTAAGCTCATCATTGCTTCCCGGCCTCCCTCGACCGCCATTGCCATTAGTTCCTCTTTCGGTCCTACTATCGCTCCCTATGAGTCTTTTTCTTCTTTGCGTCCTCGAGTGGTAACTGGTCCTTCTCTAAGTTCTGCTACTACAGCAGGTGCCCCCTTCTCCAAAGTCTGGATCAATAGTTCTCCCGATGTGCATCCCCCACTCATCATTTCGTTATCCATCGCAAGAGTTCCTCCTTCGTATTCGAGGAACACGTCTATGGGCTCAGCATCCTCCACCCCTTCGGGAGTGATGCAGACCCGGCTCAGCCCATCAGCCTTGTTGCGGACTCCAGCAATCCGTTTGATCTTGTAATCGAACTGTCAGATGAATCCTACCCATCTCCCTACCATCAGATGTATAGGCATGTAATTCTTTAGAGCCCCTTCGACATTCGTCGGATCGATCCTTAAGATGAACCGCCTCCCAAATAGGTAGGCCTGGAAGGTCTTAAGACAATGCAGGATGGCTAGGACTTCCTTCTTGAATTGCGAGTACCGCCGTTCTACGGAGTTCAGGGTTCTACTTTCGAACCTAATCGGCCTTTTTTTTTCTCCCTCGTCCCTTTGAATCAACACACCTCCTACGGCCAAAGGTCCTCCATCCGTCTCTAGGATGAAGGGTCGTCCCACTTCGTCATTAAAACAAGGCGCGAACAGGGCGACCGTCTCAGATGTCAATATGCCCTTGAGCCTTTGGACATCTCCTTCTCGCTCCTCCGTCCAATCCATGGTTCCTTCTTCCCTGATCATAGCCCGGATAGGCTCAGCAATCTTGGCAAAGTTCTTAATGAAGATCCTCCAAAAGCCGACTACGCCTAGGAATGCCCTTACCTCCGTCGTCGTGCGCAGTGGTGTAGGCCACTGTGATATCTTGTCGGTCTTTGCCGGATCCGGCTTCCTGCCATAAGCACCGCAACGAAATCCTAGTATAGTTACCTCCGACACTGCTAGGATACTCTTCGGTCCACTGACCGTAATGTTGTATACTAGGAACCGACGGAGTAAGTCTTTGATGTCCTGCAGGTGGTCCCACACAAAACGTCGGATCCCTGGTTGGACCTCCGTCTCATCCTTCTCCTGCGCGCCTTTGATCGGATTGTCATCGATGTAAGACTCACATTTTTCTGGGAACATGTCCTCGGCCACAGCGAGCATCCTGCATTGCGCTTCGGCCACCGCGTTGGTGAATCCCATAGGGGTGACTTGCATCTGTAGTTGGCCTACGGGGGTGAGAATAGCGGTGTATGGCATGTCTCGAACATCCAATGGAAGCTGGTCGTACCCTGAGTACAGATCTATCAGGGAGTAAATGCTCTGACCGGCGTGCGATTCTGCGAATAAGTCAGCCTGAGGTAGCGAGTCAGCATCCCGGATGGTTACCGCATTCAACTTCTGCAGGTCCTGAATCCACCTTAGTGTCTTGTTAGGCTTCCGAAAGACGAACCACCGATTTGCGTATGACGACGCCGTAGGCTCTGTAACGAAGGAGTCCAACTTTGCTCGGAGGAGGTCTGTTACTTCTCCTGCTTTCCCAAATTCATAGGATGACCCCTTGTCATTCCAGCACTCATGTTCTACCGTGTGGATTCTGAGCTGAGGGATCAACTTCGCATTCAGTCGTCCCTTCTGGTGATCACTAAAGGCAAATGCCAGGTGAAACTCCTGGCAGGTCCTTTTGATCAGGCGGGTTTCTTCTTCCGTTAAGAACCCATATATCCGTATCTTCATTATGTCAGCTACCTCATCTGGTATCCGATGTCCCTCCGTCGCCCTTCTTTTTCGGATCACTCGAAGGACCTCTTCCTCCTTCTCCATAGCCTCTTCCTTTGATGTCTCTAGCAGGATCGAGACCGGTCTTGCTTTCTTCCCTATCGGCTTGTACTTTCGAACACTTCCTTCTGGGATCTTTCTCCTAAAAAATGAACAGTCAGAATCGCCCTCGTCGCCTTTACGACTCGTGGCTGAATACTAGCTAGTTTCCCATTCAGGCAATATCCCTTTTGCAACTCTCTTCCGAACTTGGCCAAGGCTGCCGAATCCACTCCTACCTTGTGGTATCTGAGGGCCTTGATGAGTTGTAATAGATGGGGGATCTCGAGTGCGATTTCTGGCACGTCTATGCGTACTTCTTTCCGTTCGGGCAGGCTAGCACCAAGTTCGACCTCTGACTCCTTTTCCGCTACCATAACACCTAGGACTTCGTCGTCCTGCCTCCTCTTCTTTTGGGGCAGGCCCATCTTGATCCACTCCTTCTTGTTGAATGCTTCCTCAATCATGATTTCTACCCTTTCTCTCATACCCTCTATCCGTGCGAAAGCCCCTTTCCGCGTGCTATCCTCGAACGACAGCGACCATGTTGCCAATTTCCCCTTAGGGGGGTCTCTTCCCGTTCCAAGGAGTCGAAAGAGCTCTCCCTGACCGGTCACAGGGTCCTCTATGTCTACCATGTATGAACCATCGTGCATGTGCATGCCTATCATTTCTACATTCGCGCACCATGATCTCCCGAGGATTATGTCGTGGTCCATTTCCTCCATTACGGTCATTCGCTGAAACGACCAGATCGATTCCCTGACCCCTCCCTGCCTTCACAACACACTTCGTGACGCACCCAACGAACGGGATTTCCCCGCCAGCTCCCCGGATGCTCCCTGTTACTTCCTTGTTTACCGTACATCCCGTGATCGTTGTGAAATCTCTCCTTATGAGAGTGATTTCTGCTTCCCCGTCTACTAATGCGTCGGTATGATGACTCCCGATCTGGATTTTCAGTTTCCCTACGGGCAGTGCATGAAAGCTAAGCTTTGTCCCGGGTGGTGATCTCATGACTTCGCCGCCCTCCCGGTCGGGCAAGCTCAAACGAATGTCTGCAAAGGCTTTTTCGAGATCCTCCAAGTCTCCGTGACTCCTCTGAAGGTTAGCCACTTCTTGCGGAGCTTCCTCCTCCCTCTCCCCTTCTGGTAATTCGGGGTTGTCGCCTATTTCTACTCGCCTCCGAGACAACAGTTGTCTGAGCCCTTTGAGCAACCTAGGGCTAGCCTGCAGCATGGTCTGAAAAGACACGGACACCATGGTTCCTAGTAACTTGCTAATGGTGTCGTCGAGCTCAGGCAAGGTTAAGATCGGGATTTGATACCTAAATTTCTTCTTAGCGGCAGTAACCTTGTCCGCAGGCTCCTCTTCCCTAGGCTTCCCATAGACTTTCTCTGGTTCCTCGGTCTCAGGCTCTGTCTGGGGTTCGGAGCTTCCGGCGACCTCCTCCATAATGGTGTCACGGTTAATCCTTCTCCCGACCGTTCCCAGTCGAGTGGTTGCGTTCACCCTATCACGTCCTTCGCTTTCCGAAATAAAGTTGGTCTGCGGCCCGCGCCCTCGGAGTGGATCCCATATGATCTCGCCCACCGGTTCGGCTTCTACGACTGCTATTTCTAACCCGTTGAGCATGATAATGGCTCACCGCATCCCTCCTGGCGAGTTCCAGTTCACCAGTTCCCCTTGTGGTATCTCCCCTTTTAATGACCTGATACATCTTCATTTCAGAATATCATGGTTGAGCTTTGGGCACGCGCGCACATTATGTTCTATCGCGGTACAGTACTTGCATTGCTCGTTAGCAGGATCTCTCCGTTCAAATCCTCGGTTGGTTACACCTGGCGGAACCACAGCTTCCTTGGAGGGAGGGCGGGCCGGGATACTTGCGCCTGCATAACCAGTAACGCGCCTTCCATCCTTTCAATTTTATTGTCGACCCCGTGCACCCGTTCATGTAGCCTTTCAACCCCCTTTTTTACCTTGTTGCCCGCCCTACCGGTCCGATCTATGATCTCTCCTTCCTTGAGAAAGGCCAACGTTTCTGCTACTACCGTTTTCTCAGTCAGATCCATTACCGTGCTAAAATCAACATCCCGCGTGTTTACGAACTTGCTCGTCTGTTGGTAAGCTGACAGGATCTTTTCTTTGTCGAACTCGGAGAACTGCCTGAGGAAATATTTGCTCACTATCCGGTCCATGACCCCGGGGATCCTTAGTGCTACTAAAGTAAATTCATGTAGGAAATCATTGTACGTTGCGAAGTTTTTCCTCTGAACTGCCGCTAGGTCGTCCTCCGTTGCCATTTTTTCTGCCACTAGGTACTTCCTCATTATCACATCTCGGGTCTCCTTCTAAGACCGACTTGCGGCTACAATGACCATTATGTCCCGTCCTAGGCTTAACGACACATGTTGTCCTAGATGGTTCATTTTTTCCTCCTCGGTCCACTTTAGTAACGCAGCTAGGTTCTCGTAGTCGATTAGGAACTCCGTGATGTTTGCTCCATCGAAAGTCAGCTTCTTCTTGGCGTCTGCAAGATAGCCTTGGTTCTTGTTCAGTGCTCGCGTGAGAGATGATACTATCTTCCTAAGGCCGCCTTCGGAGCTACTGGCCTTGCCTGCCATGCTGGTATCTGACCCTTCCTTGGTGGTTTTCTGCCCCCCTCTAGTCTTTGCCGTTCCTTCCGGGTCGAACCAACCCAACACCCCTTCTCTGAGGCTCGAGAGCCCTTCGCATCCTCGTGATGCCGCTGGCGAGGTCGGCAGACGGCTAGCCCTACTGTCTATGGCTAAGGGGTTCGTCGCCTTCTCTGCCTCCATTCCCGGCGAGTTCTCTCCCTCTTTCCTTCTTTTGCTCGGTGTTCCCCCACGGTCACTACCCTTGTCCCCTTGCCCAGTTCCGCCCCGGATGGTTTTCCGTTCGTCCCGCGGTACCTCCTGCACAGAGTTTTCCTCGTTCCCAATCATCATTGCCTCAATTAACCTTGCATTGTACTCCGCGGTCCTTTTATCTATTTCTGCTAGTTTTCGCCTCGCGTCCGTGACCCTTACTTTCTTAGACACAACTCCCTCCGAGTTCCCGGGACTCCCCCTATCCTTATTCCTGCCTTCCTTGTTTTCCTGGGTCCCCTGTCTGCTTCCCCCGGCTTTTCCCGAGCTCTCTCCGGAGGACATTTCCTTCCGGTTCCCTTTGACGCCATAGGGATTTGTTGATTCCCTGTCCTTCTGCCCTTCCTTTCTTTGCTCAGCACTGCCTCCTAAGCCTGATCCTCCCTCGTTTTCAAGATTACGCATCTCATCCTCCGTTGCCATACTTGCCTACTTCTGCATAACCAAAGGATCCCCCAGAACAGACGCAGTGCGAGGCATTTAGGTTCCCTAGGTTCCAATATTGTTGGTTTATCCTTTTACTTGGTAATTAGGTTTTTCCCCATTCTCATTTTCTGATGGCTTCCTTAATATGGAGCCGCGTCCGACTCTGCTGCCTCACCGAGCTAAGGGCGTGACTTAGCTTCCCTTATCACCGGCTTGTTTAGAGCGCCCTTATTCCGTTGGTCGGTGCGTAGGGGTCCGGGTTGGGCAACCCGCTGAAAAAAATTTTCCTGCGCGGTGTTCCCCGTCTGGCGGTTATTAGTCATCCGGGTCCGAGGCCCCCCCCTTTCCTATTTTTGTCGGTGACCTTCGAAAGTAGCGGACTGTGCGTGATTTGCCCAACTGGCTTGCCTGCGGGTGCTAGTCCCGTTCTCGCCTTCGTGGCCCTTCCGGTTCGGTAGGCTCCTCGAATAGTTGAGCCACCCCCGTTAAATAATTCTCCCCTATCTCGATTTCCCTTTGGATTATGCGTTCGCACCCCGTCCAGTCTAACCGGGGCGCACAAAACATCAGGATGTGGATGACTTCTAGTAATTCGTGGGCCCTATTTCCCCAGAACGGCCCGTGCTCCACAGCGACATCGTAGAACATCCCAATGGTAGGGGAGGGAAAGTGACCTGCCCAGACTATCGTTGAGTCTGCCAGCTCCCGCGCCCTTGCGAGGCTTCCGAAGACGAGGTTTATCATAAAACGGGGCACTCGACATCTCAGCGGTGTGGTCGGTGCCCTGAACTCCCTCCAACCTCCCATTTCCACCCGGGTAAGTAAGCCTACATTCCCTCTTCCCCTGATCAATTGTCCTATCCGGGTCAACGTCAGGGCGACCCTTTGAAAGACCGGCGCCAGCTCGTGACCTTGTGTTATCTCTACCCCCAACGAGTGTCAGCCGATCTCAGGCAGATAGATGGTCCCGGTAACTTCCAGATTGGAAAACATATCGTCTTCGGGGCCTCCGTTGAGTCTCATCCTTGTCCACCGACATTCTACCAACATGAAGGCGGCGTCCCTTCCCAAAGTCACGGCCCGCCATTCTGTGTCGAACCCCCGATAGGTAGAACTCGACGGGAGGGATACTTCTCATCGTCCACCATTGTTCCAGGGCGGTCCGGGGTACCGGGGATGGCGTTCCATTCGCACACGGGGCTGGCGTTCCACTCGCTCACGTCTTGCTGCCATTGTTACCTTGGTGATTCCCTGCATAATCCACATAGAAAGGGTTACAGCCAATCTTCAGAATCCGCCCACCTACTGTCTCCCTTGCCCTTCGTATTTTCATTTCTCTTTTCTAGTCCCAACTATCCCTCTATACCCTCGAGAGCAGTAACCTCCTCTGGCTGTTCGTACAGCCGGTAGAGATCATCTATGTAGGTCGCGCCCCGACCTACCTTTCGCCGGATGACTCTCCACATCGTCTCATCACTTATTTGTGGGACTCTTGGCCTAGCATTTACCACTGCTCGTAGAATGCAAAGCACCTCCCGCCCTTGTTCGTCCCTGAAAGGCCCCATCTCTAGGAAGGTCCGATAGTATTCTCGATACATTAATGCTTCGTCAAGATTTAGCCTAGTTACGGCAGTCACCGCCTGTTCCACTCGTTCTATGCCTCCCACTCGTCTTAGCAGGAAGGGTGGTAGACTCATCCGTATGACCTCATTTGGCAGCTCGAAAACCTCTGTCGGGGCAACTCTTACCTCTGCCGTTACGTCATCTCGTTCCGGGTCTGCGAACTCAAACCGCTCCCGCCAGGTTATTTGCCATGCCCCTTCGAACATTCGCACGGGGTCATCCCTGGAAGCCAAAGCAATCCCAAAGGTCCGCCATCCCTCTTCCGACAGGTGTAAGGATCCCGTCGCATGTATACGCCCTGGGAGGTTCAAGTCTACGCCCCCGAACTCCCCTCTCGCACGTCATTCCAGCTCCAGTACTAGGTACACAGTATCTTCCACCAACTCTACCCCCACCCAGTCCATTACCGGATTGCTTACCGCATTTTTTGCCGGCAGGCTTATTTCGACCCCGCCTTCTGATATTCTTGGTGGCAGGATCCCACGAGGTCTATCCTCCCATAACGTCATTCGCCGGACCATCTCGCAATGTCTCCTTTCCTGCTTTCTTAGTCCGATTGCTGCACCCACCGAGATTCCATGCCTTTCGTGTTTTAGTCTTTCAACTCTCCCTACTTATCGTACACTGGTTCTTGCTGCTATCCCCAACTCATACACGTTCAATTATGCCCCCTCTCCATTTTTCGGTTGTTGTCGCTTCCCCCTTGTTTCGATCCTTATGTACCATTTACGGCCTAATGTACACACTCCCTTTCTTATGTTATACCTCAATTCACAAACACCCTCCATACTCAGGCCTTTTCGCAGTGTTTGATCCCCTGGCCTCATTCAGTCGAACCATAGTACCTCAAATAGTTTAAAGACATCGTCTACGTAGGAGGGTGCGGCCGCCGCCTCCCGCCTAACTATGGCGTCCCAAGACTCCGCCTCAACCTCTAAGCGGTCATACCTGCCTATCCTTAGGACGATGATGACTTCCTCGGCTTTATCTCCGTAGAAGGGTCCATATTTCAATGAGAGTCTATAGAACTCCTCAGTCAGCCAGGCACATTCTATATGCACCTTTCTCATGGAGTCGGCTACTTCTAAAATGTGCTCAAACCCCCCAAACCACTCGACTATGAATTCCAGTACCCAAGCCGTTATCCGTACACTTGGAGGCTTAAGTTTCTTCCATCCTCCCATCACAACTCTGCTACTAACTTCGTCTCATCCCTCGTTGGCGAACAACTTGCCTTCCTTTCGAGTTCGGGCCTCTGCATCCCCTAGAAGCCACATCGGGTCCTAACCCATTGCTAACATGGTGCAATACAGGTGCCATCCATCTTCGGAAAGGACAATTGTTCCAACTGACTCTACCTTGTCTTCTGCTGTATCATCCCAACTTTCCTCTTCCCTTATCGGGTTTCAAATCCGCTCTATCCATACATATGACAAGTCCCGGGCAACCTCAAACCCAATCCAGTCGCACGTGGTCCCTCTCCATCCGTTCCCTGTTGGAATAGGTATTTCTATTCCTCCTCAGAGTCGCCGTGGTTCCCAGCCTTTCAAGTGGTATTCCATCATCCTTTCTTCTCTAGTCATTTTTCCCTTTCCTGCACAATATCAGGTCACCCGTCCTTCCTAAATTAAGTTTCCCCACCCCCTTTAGAAGTCCCAGTCCTCTATCTCTTCATCTTCGTCTTCATCACTGAAGTCGTCCTCCTCGTCGTATACCAACTCCCTTACCCCATCTAGAAACGTTTCCCCTATTGCCACGTTCCTGTAGACTATCCCCCAATGCACAGCGCTAGGGAGAAAGATATTGTCTATGCTAAGGCAGTTTAGTATCTCGACCAGCTCCTCCGCCGAGTTCCCCTCGAACGGCCCCATCTCTACTGATAACCGAAAAAAATATTACCTAGCGCATTGGTATAGCCCGAGGTTCGTCATGGACTGGCATATTCGCACTAGCCTGCTCCGAGTTCCGAAAACCGCATCCACTAGGAAGGGCGGCAGCACACATCGCATGGTTCTTACGGGTCGCCTCATGCTTCCTCTATCCCCAAATTCCACCCGTACGTCTACCTTTTCCATTTCCATTTCCCTCCGTTGACATGCAGCCCACACAACCTCTGCTTCTGCCTTCCTAAACAACTCGTCCGGCGTATTCCCGAGTGCCAACTCTATGATCATAGCTTTCTCCCCATCTTGCGACAAGTAGACCCACCCCCAGGCTTCCACTGTCCCTCGGAATTTCAAATCCATTAAACTTGGCGACAACCTCGTCAAGCTGACATTGGTCCATACCGTTTCTATCCAAAGAAAGGCATTCCCTCCTTGCAGCATTACCGTTTGATATGCTGGTTCAAGGTCCGTCCACGTTCCATTTTCCGGGAGGACGACCGATACTCCTTCCTCTACATCTACTGGCATTTCCGGGCCGGTAGTATAGATCGGGGAAAGCAACCATCGCGTCATCTTATTTTCAGTACCCGACCCCTGCTTTCATAAAAAGAGCATTAACCGGTCCTTTTGGTCAGGTCAACCCTTGTCCTAGAGGAAAATTATTCCAGACCCCTCATCAAGGTCTCCCTATTTTACCTCCCCATTCCTAAGTACCTCTTCCCATAATTCCCTCGGCCGGCCATCCATTTGCCCACATTCTTTCTCTTGTTTCCATTCCAATTGACCTCTATCCTCCTTCCTTCCGATCATCTCTCACTCGTGCGGACTTAGATGGGGGGGGGGGATAGACTTAGAAATATGTCCCGTCCAACTGTCCGAGCTCAATCAAACTTTACAGAGGGGGAACACATAAAAAAAAATTCAGGCAACCTCACATACGGGTCGGTCATCTCCTCACCGACCATCCCCAATATGGTCTCTCCACTGGTACTATCGGTAGAGTTTTATCCCATACCTCAAACGCAGCTCAACCGTCGCGAGCGCGGTACCCAGGTCTTGGCAAGGCATTCGCCCTTTCCTCCTTACCCAGAATACCCCATCCCGTCTTGCCGCTTTGCACATCCATACCGATACCAAGGGTTACCTCGAGTGCCTAAATACAGGGACAAAGTCAGCCGTCAGGGCATTCACTTCCATCGGTCCGACAAAAATCAGCCTTTTCCAAAACCATGCTACGAGAGGCTACTAATCACCTCCGAGGCTCCGTCTTTGTCCGCATGCAGTGGTACTCCCTCCACCAGCCAACAGGCTAAGCCCCGCCTGAGGAGATTTTACACCCCGTCCAGCAAATCATCAAGCCGAAGCCCGTCACCGCTCGAACGAGAATGCTACTAATCAACCGACATGACAAACTCTCGTCCGACAGCTCGGTGGCCTGACCTCCACATACAAACACACGGCAGCCTACAAAAAGAACGACGTTTCGCAACCCGCACTGGTCGGTGCAGACCAATCCTTTCC